GAGCGGATCTCCGGCGGCCGCGCGCAGGTCCTAAAGCCCGCCGGCCAATCATAGCGCAGTAGTGATGATGATGATGATGCATGATGATGATTACTGTTTATATTATATTGACGCCCGTGTCCTGCCACTGAATAATAACCCTTTATTGCGAGATAAACTTGCGAGATTAACACGCAATTCTGACTTTTTCTCTGCAATTGTGAGATGCAAACTCGAAACTGCGTGTAATAGATATAAACTCACAGTTCTAAGAAATTTTGACAAAATTCTGAGAAAAAAAAATCACAATTGTGCGATATAAATCCACAATTGTGTGTAAATGTCAGATATCTGAAAAACAAAGTTGAAATTACAAGTTAGAAAGTCAGAATTATGCAATAAAAATTCACAATTGCAATAATTCTGACTTTATATCTCGCATTTCTGAGATATAAAATTGAAATTACAAGTTAAAAAGTCAGAATTATGTTATAAAATTCACAATTGCAATAATTCTGACTTTATATCTCGCATTTCTGAGAAATAAAGTTGAAATTATAAGTTAGAAAGTCAGAATTGTGCTATAAAATTCACAATTTCAATAATTCGGACTTTATATCTCACAATTTTGATAAATGAAGTTGAAATTACAAGTTAGAAAGTCAGAAGTATGCTATAAAATTCACAATTGCAATAATTCTGACTTTATATCTCGCATTTCTGAGAAATAAAGTTTAAATTATAAGTTAAAAAGTCAGAATTATGTTATAAAATTCACAATTGCAATAATTCTGACTTTATATCTCGCATTTCTGAGAAATAAAGTTGAAATTATAAGTTAGAAAGTCAGAATTGTGCTATAAAATTCACAATTTCAATAATTCGGACTTTATATCTCACAATTTAGATAAATAAAGTTGAAATTACAAGTTAGAAAGTCAGAAGTATGCTATAAAATTCACAATTGCAATAATTCTGACTTTATATCTCGCATTTCTGAGAAATAAAGTTTAAATTATAAGTTAGAAAGTCAGAATTATGCTTTAAAATTCACAATTGCAATAATTCTGACTTTATATCTCGCAATTCTAAGAAATAAAGTTGAAATAACAAGCTAGACAGTCAGAATTATGCAATAAAAATTCGCAATTGCAAGAATTCTGACTTTATATCTTGCATTTCTGAGAAATAAAGTTGAAATCACAAGATAGAAAGTCAGAAGTATGCTGTAAAATTCGCAATTGCAATTATTCTGACTTTATATATCGCAATTCTGAGAAATAAAGTTGCATGCATGATATAAACTCCTAAATGTGAGTCGGTTACAATTGCGAGTACAAAGACAGAATTCTGACTGTATATCTCATAATTCTGAGAAATAAAATCACAGTTTGCGTGAAACAAACACAACAGCGAGAAAAAAGTCTTTATTAAAAAATCTCAATTATAAAGTGATTTCCTGTTGTAGACGCTGACCTTAAATGGAGGACGAATTGCATTATAAGAAATAACAGAGAAACAATAGGCTTTTGGGTGAATCAAACAGCATAAAGCTTAGTTTCCGGACAGTCTTTCAAACGCAATTCAGTTTTAGAGCAAATAGTCCAAATGGCATCAATTAAAGAAGGTATAATCCATACAAATAAATGGACAATATAAAATAAAATAAAAGTCCTTTTTGAAAGCATGATAAACAACAACTTTTTTTGTTGTTAAATCCTCCAAAAGCCTAAAAGTACGATCTTTGGAAGTCCGTTTTGCCACTAAATAAATAAATAAACATTTTTTAGTTTAAAGCCAAATGTACCTATTCAGAATCAGATTAGCTTTTGATATTCTTTATTAAAAGTGGGACTTCTATAGTAGTTTTTCTATGAATGTCAATGGCTGCTTACAACATTGTTCAGAAATGAAGTTTAAGTAAGATTTTACACCATTTACCACTGTCTTAATGCCTGCCGATTATTAAAGAGTCCCTATTGTGAGTTTTTGAAAATGCACTTCTATGCAGTGTGCAAGTGAATGAACACATCCAGCTGAGAAATAACGAAATGGTCGACTCAGAGTCGAATAAATGAATCGTGTCGTGTTCGGATCTTTTGCCTGAACATGTTGAAGTTGATACAGTACACCAAAAATGTAGTGCCAGATCTCTTTAAGATATGAACTGTTCATTTGTCACGGTATGTTGACGGACGGAGACAAAAAGGCAAAGGATCCAAGTGCAATTTAATGAGATCGTGCAGATAACAGAAAAACAAGACATCCAAAAATCGAAGTATCAACATAACGATAAACAAACAAAACAAGGAACTACGGCGAGATAAACAAGAACAAGGCTCAGGAACAACATACCAACTATAACAAGACTTACTAGACAAGGTAGACAAACGACTCCGTAACAACAAATGGGTGCAGGGTGTATAAATAGTCCAGGAAATCCAAACAGGAACGGAGACAGCTGGGTGAAAGTGGAAGCCAGGTGTGTGCGCATGGAATGTATGGATATGTAGTTCTGAAACAACTGTAGTTCGCTACTAGAGTTTATTTGCGAACTACAGTGCCACCTAGTGGTCCATGATAGTCATGACATTATTAGCACTTATTGACCTTATTCTAAAATGCGGAAGTGCGCCCGTTTTCGCGATTGTCTTAGAACTTCCGTTTCAGTCGCTTATGGGAGAAATGACAAGGAATAATAAACGGCAAAAAACGGTCAAACTACTTGCTCTACAAACAAATGTTTGCATGACTATACAGACCAAGTAGAATAATACAACAAGGAAATATCAGTTTGCAACATCAAACAGCGAAACAAGCAGTTTTTAATGTCTAAAAATGAATGGAAGTGAATGAGACCGGAAGTCTCGTGCCAAAAAGGTTCAAATGGCTGCGCCCGCTCGTCTGCGGAGAATAAGGTCAATAGGGCCCCATCATACACCCGGTGCAGTGTGGCGCAAGGTGCGGCGCAATAGTCTTTGGTAGTTTCAGCTTGGCGCAAGAGTTGTTTTGAGGCGTTGCGCTACGCTGTTTAAATAGCAAATGCTTTAGCGCTCATTTGTGTGCCCATAGGCGTTCTGGTCTAAAAAGCAAGGCGTTCTAAGGCGCACTGCTGGCGCGTTGCTATTTTGAGAAACTAAAATAGATTTTTCATTAGACCAAAACAAACCCGGTCTAAACTCCGGCGCAGAGTTGCGCCTCGCTTACACACTGCTTAATACACACAAGAGAGCAATAGGCAAATATCTTTACATATGAAAAAATGTAAATATTAAGGATATATAGGATATAATAAGAATAGATATAGGATATAAATATAAAGGATTAAAATATTACAAAACATATTAATTTCTAGCCCACATAAATATGAAAAATCACTGCTTTTATGTCTTCTTCATCTCGGGAGGCTTTTTCAGTTCATTCATAACAATTTGCTTTCGTATAATGTTATTATTATTAGCAGTATTATTTATTATATCCATATTTATATTTGTTTTATTAAAACAAGCTTAGATTTGCCCACCTGTCAGGTTTTAGACCATATGGGGCACAGTATGTGTTTTAGGATATAACTCAGGTTTTTGAGCACACTTCATTATTATTGTTCATTTATTCGTTTGCTGGAAATTAGAACTGAATTTAGAAATAGTTTTGAAACAAATATTTGCGCTTAACAAACGCAATTAATTATTTATAGACTAACTGATGTCTGTGCGTAAAGGTTTCCCTATCCAAGAACGAAAGTGAAAGTAGATCATTTATCTCTCATTCTCACGCAGTAGATCCTCAGTTTAACAGTTTTCTGTTAAACTGTTAACTGTTTGCTTGTGAAATGCTCAGTTTTTCCACTTAGACTTACTTTGCGTCCTGTAAATAGCGAATTCGCTCTTGGCGCAGAGCAGCTGGCTCTTAAAGGGAATGGGAGATGAGACTGTAATTGGTTTATTCTCAAAACACACCTATAACTCATTTTCCCGTCCTTAAATTAGCAAAAATACGTTCTGACACGCCCTGAAAGCATTTGCGCCCTGCGTTTTGCATGGACCGTCAAAATAGAGCCCATAAAGTATGACATCCCTGATCCTACCCAATACGTAAAGCCAAGTACTAACTACTAATTACTAACTATTGATAAGCAGCTAATTACTAGTTTACTGAGCTAAAAGTCCAAAGCTGCAGTCACACTAGAGTTTGAGCGTGCGAAATTCTGTCATTCGGCACTGTGAAAAAGGGGCGGGATTAAACAAGATGATTAGACATTTTAAAAAAAGCCAGTGATTGGTCCATCTTTGTTCACGTTTTGATCCTCGGTTGGTCTCACGCAATCATATGATGCTATTTTGCAGGTCACCAAGCTTGAACTTTTCAACGCAGCGATCTGCGAAACTTGCCGCACGACCTTACGTTTCCAGTAGGGATGTAACAGTATCAGAATTTCACGGTACGGTAATACCTCGGTATGAATGGCACGGTACGGTATTTATTGAGCAATTTACAGGAAAACAAAACTAATGAAAAGACTCGAAAAAAGTGCCAAAAGTACTTATTTACCTTAGCACTGAACATATCAATGACATACAAATTAGCCATCTATCTGTACGTTTCGAAACAGGAACTTTAATTTTTCAATTTTAATAACAAAAAACTATTAAACCATATAAAAAAATAAAGTTTCAATTTAGTATTGTTGAAAACTCATCACATTCAACATTTAATCACTCACTCACTTAGATAGAGATGGCTTTTTAAGGAAAATGATCATATAACTATAATCTGGTGAGAGCTGGGATCTCTGGGCATGTCCCCTGCAACAGAAATAAACCCCTCTCATTTGGGACTGAGGTTTCTGGGACAGAGAGATATGATTTAGCCAAGGTTGACAGCAGTGGGTAACGTTGTGCATTGTCTTTCCACCACTTGAGAGGACAAGCCATGAGTGAGATAGAGGTCTCTTTGCGGTACAAGTCAATGTCTGCATCAATCTAACAAGTGTGCTGTGTTCTGCAGTCCCCATGACTGTT